ATTTATGAATTCCAAGCCCAAAGGTGAGTCAGATTAAGCCATATTCAATCCTTCAAACCTTAGCATTTTCAAGAATAATGAAGACATGCAAAAATGGCACGGATTTCAAAACCAAATTCAACCTTCAAAGCTTGTTCAAATGGAACTCATTTCTTCAAAGAAGCATGATGAATTCATGGAGTATGACCAAGAGATGGACATGCATGTGAGGCATTATGAACTACAACCTCAAAACTTCAATATATGTACATGCATGCAACAATTAAGCCACAATTCAACATCTAAACCATGTTTGGCTCTACACTCCTTCAATATGACATGAATCATGCAAGAATCAACTCAAAACGTGAACAAGAAGACAATGGAGCTACCTTTAGTCTTGTAGTTCAAGAAGGGAGCTCAAATATGCAATCACTTCAACAATTTCTTCAATTACCAAGCAATTTACAAGCAAAATTGAGATGAACTCCACTCCTCTAGTTTTTCTCTCTCTATGGTTGGCAATGAGAGGGGAATTGGCTGAGGAAATGTTGTCTTTGGCTCAAGTGTATGAGTGTATACAAGGCTTAAAGATGTGTGAGATAGTGGCCCACTCAAGGGCAAAACGGTAATTAAGTCCAACTCTTTAATTACATTATCTTTCAGGAGTATGACTCCTAAGAGGACTCTACATGGAGGAGTAAGAGTCCTACTAGGATTATGCCACGCGGAACCTATAAAAGCTCACAACATCACCTATGGAGAGGTAACACAGCTTTGATTCTCGAATACACAGAGCTTTGTCTATTTGTCTATTTTTGCTGACTTAGGCATCGGAAAGGTATCCGACACACACCCGTCGGCTAGCTCACGTTTGTGTTTTCAGGGAATAAAGCGACGACGTACGGAGGAGCGCAGACTTGATCAATAGGCTTATACGAGAAGGTTTATTTCTTTCCCGTACACACAAGAATGGGCTTTTCTCTCTAGAATGAGCTATCTCCCTCACTTTACTCACTTTCTCTCTCTAGGATGAACTCTCTGCTCAAAGAAGTAGAAAGAACAAGAGGACTGTTGCCTACATTCCCGCACAATTTAGCAAATATACACATACACACACACTCTCACAATTTGAACAAACAACACGTGCACCACTCCAACACACCCATAAGAATTCATCCTCTACACTCAACACCACCAAATGCCCAACTTAGATTTCTCAGTACACCCATATAAATTTCTCAACACACACTCACTCAAGGATTTAATTCTCTACACTCAACATTACAAAATGCCTCAGCACATCATACACTTAATCACATCTTGGATCATGAATAGGAGTAGATTAGGCATAAATCATGCATCATCTTAATTAAACACAAGTAACCTTAATTAATCACGGTTAGCACATGACTCAATTAACCCAAAACAGTTCTAATTAAGACTCAATTTAATCACATGCGATTTTATTGAACTGAATCAATTTTTAACAAAACTTCTCATATGGTTCCAAATAGTCCAATTAGTCTCTCCATGTACTCAAATTCGATTTCTGAAACATTTAGGCTATCAATTTCGAATTCAAAACAGAAGTCATGACAGATAATTCTACGAATAACAGATAAAAAGCCAAATAGCATGCAAAATACACAATTAGCACATAATTCTATTCTAAACACTTAGGCCTCGTTTGGCAAGTGGCTTTTTTAGCCAAAAAGTCAAAAAATCACAAAAAAAAAATCAAAAAGCCAACAACCCATAACAAAAAGTCAAAAATTCTATTTTCTCTCTACTTTTGCACATCTTTTCATAAAAAGTCAAAAAGTCATCCCAAACATACTAGTTTTTTTTAGCTAATATTTTAGCCAAATAGCCAAAAAGTTACTAATTAGCCTATTCCCAAACGAGGCCTTAGTTAGGATTCTTAATTACGGATTAGTAGTTAATTACGGATCGAGTTTGTTACATAGATAAATGACTCAAATATCCATATATATATATATATATATAATATCATATACATGGTACTGAAAAAGTGAAAGCTCACAGTCTCTCTCTCTTTCTCTTTCCAAGCCTTAACCCTCTCTCTTCCTTTGCAGTCGGCCAAACCTTCCATGACCACCCAGCATCACCGTCGGGACCTCGACGCACATTCCCAAACATAGTGGTACGACTGCGAACACGGTTTCCAATACGACGGTTGCACCGAAATATGGAGGCGGTATGTGGTGGTGCTAGATGAGTGGATTTGAGAAAGAGAGATGTTAAGAGAGAGGAGATCGGCGGTGGAATAGTTCGCAAAAAATTTGGTCGGATTTTAGCCACTGAAGCCCAACCAATCTACCTTCGATCATCTAGGTGGCAGTCAGCACTAGTACCACGACGGCGTCCAAGTTGTAATCATAGACCTGGTCTCGACACAAGCAGCAGAATAGCTCGGCTCCGATCTCTTCTCTCTCTCTCTCTCTCTCTTTCCAATCTCCTAGGTTTGATGCTCTCTCTCTCTCTCTCTCTGAATCGAAACCCCAATCTAAGTCCATCCTAGTCCTTCTCTCAAATCTGACCCTCAATCTCTGTCTCTGTCTCTCTCTCTCTCTCTCTCTATATATATATATATTTGTTTTGTTTTCTCAAGAAACAAGCAACAAGAATCTGTCGTATTTATTATCTTTTTTGTTCTTGTTTTTTTTGTTTTTGTTGTTGTTGTTTTTGTTTTTTTTTCTTTTTCTTGGATCTCGTTGGAGTTATATTTTTGGTTATTGTTGTTGTTGTTGATGATAATGAATGTTGTTGTTGATGATGGAACAGATCTATAATGGCTAAGATCTGAATAGATTTGTTGTTGAACAGATCTATAATAGAGAGAGAAAATAAAACTAGCTAGAGGCACAGATAAAGATAGGAACATCATTCAGTGGGTTTCGTTTCACTTTTATGAATTCAGTTTTTTGAAAATTTAGGTTGTGTTTGGTTGTGTTCTCAAATCATGATTTTGCATCTTGATTCAAGTATGATGTTTGGTAAGAGTTTTGGGATCACGTTTCCAAAACTTTGCAGAGAGCTCTGTCTCAGCCGCGCTTTTCAGAATTTTTTTTTATTTAAATTTTGCCTAACCAGTCGTCCGACGGGTTGACCGGAATAGTGATTTTTTTTTTCAATTGATATGTTAATTTTTATATAATCGAAAAAACACATTTTCTGAAATTTTTAAATTTTTTTTATGTGTTTTAAAATAATTTTGAGTTGTATGTTTAATTATGAGTTGTAAATTTTTGTATCAAATAGCAAATGTTACATCAACAATTTCCCACTCAAATCAAAACTCTTTTCAAAACTATTTTCTAAACAAATTTTCTACACTCAAATCATAATTCCAAACCCCACAAACTCAAATACAAACAAATTTTCTACACTCAAATCATAATTCCAAACCCCACAAACTCAAATACAAATCATACTCTCAAATCATAATTACAAAACTCTACCAAACGCAATCTCAAGCTTTTATTTTTCGTTTTTTTTTTAGTGAATATTTTAAAATTTTAAGCAAATTTTTTACTTTTAGATGCACCCTACTTAGATATATCTAAATAGTAAAATATTTGTGAAAAAATATTTAAAAAAATTAATAAACACACAAAAATATGAAAAATGTACTTAATTGTCGTATCTTTTTTGTATTTTTGGTAGTTAGTGAATTTTTTAAAGATTTTTTTTACAAATATTATACTTTTTAAGTATATTTATGTTGAGTGTGTCTAAAAATTTAAAAATTACTTAAAATATTAAAAAAATTCAATAAAAATAAAAACATACAGAAAATAAAAAAATAAATTTTTTTGAAAAGTGAATACCGAAGACTGAAAACAAACAAAGTGAATATTATTTTGTTTCACTTATCTTCAGTCTATGAAGCACATGTACTCCAAACGGTTTCTATTTTTTTTCAACAAATATGTTGTGTTTGATCCCCCATTTTCAGTTCTCTCTCTTTTTCTTTCTTTGTCATGTATCCATGGACATCTATGATGATGATGAAACAAATATCAGACAAATTTTGAACAGATAAGTGAGATCTGCTTTAAAGTTTGAACAGATAATAATAGTTTGTGATTTTTTGTATAATATTTAAGTGTTAGTAATAGAAAATTCCAATAGATAGAGAAATTAGTTTGTGAATTTCGAACAAATAGGAACAATGGGCTTCCAAATTTGAGTATTAGATAAGAAAATGTTATTTTAACAAATGAGAAAAATTGAACTGATAAATAGAATTTAGGAAAAATTTGAACAAATAGTTAAAAATTTTGAATAGATAGACAAAATATTTTGAACAGATAAACAAAAAAAAAATTTGAATAGATAGAAAAAAATTGAATAGATAAATATAAATTTGAACAGATAGTCAACAAAAAGTCAAACTGATAAAAAAAATCCAAGGGTAAAATTGGAAATAAAATGTCATTTAAGACTTCTCACTAAATTATTTCACAAAATGTGAACATTTTACTAACAAAAAAAAATCCATTAGACATAATGCCTTATACTCTCTTTAGATTAGATTTATCACTAATTTTATCTTAATTTTTTATTAAAATCATACTAATCATTTATTTTCATAAATATAAATGTGATTTGATTATAAGTTATAATTATCTATTTAACTTAATTTTTTTTTTATGAATAATTTGCTCAACAAACTCTATCTAATGAACCATTTTAAATTAGGGCAAATCACATATACCTCTCTTGAAGTTTGGTTAAATTACAGATACCCTTGAGGTTTCAAAAATTACATCCCGTCCTCTAAGATTTGTATTTTCATAATAATTTGTCCCATAAAATTTAAATTTCATAACAAATTACTTCCTAATTTGTTATACAAATATAACATTTAGGAAAAAATTTACAATTGTTCAAATCTCAGACGTATTTGTAATTTAGCTAAATCCCGAGCATATGTGTAACTTGCCCTTTAAATTATTAAAATAAATTACAAGCACAATGTTGTGCCATAAATAAAGGACAACAGCAACCCCATATCCCATATATAGAGAGAGGGTGCCGCACAAAGCTTTGCAAATACACGGTTCAGTTTTGTTACCGATTCGAACTCGAAAGCTTCGGATTTGGGAATTACCCAGTTCAATTGCTCACGATCACTCTCTCTCTTCCCAAGGTCTCCTCTCTCTCTCTCTCTCTCTCTCTCCACACAATTGTGTTTTATATTTCTGTTTACAATTTTGATTTTTAGTTCATAATTAATGTTGTCTCAGATTCTCTCTTCAATCCGGGAGAGATAATTTTGGGTTTTGAATAAAATTTATTGTTATTGTGAGAATTGAATTATTGATCATTGTTGCTTTGCTTCCATGTGCTTTGTGGGTTACACACTGAATGAGAAAGCTGCAATTGTGGCTCAATGTGTTTGTTGTTAAGTGGGTTTAGGGTTTAGATACAAAATACTGGAGGAATAGTATGTGAACAATGAATTGATTTAAGACAGGTTTAGTGGTTTAAATTGGTTGTTGCATTATTTTTTTTACTTTTGATGTTTATTTTTGACATTTGGGGAAAATAATGTAGACAATCTCCTGGGATAGTTTTGAGTGGTAAGGCTTCTGGACTGATGCAGGGAAGCCTATTGAAAAGATGAGCAAATAATAAGATCGAACCACGAACAAATCCGAACTAGATAAACTCTCTCTAAGAACCAACAATATTGAGAAAACTCTCGATTTTTATTAATCAAAACATAAACTGTATTGCCTAAGGCTTACATCTTTACTTATAATAAATCTATTTCTTGTAAAATATGAAACTCATAAGACAAGAAATAAAATAGGAAACTAAGTAATCGCAAATACGAAAACTAAATAATTCTATGTTATTTCTATACTAAATTAAAATATTTGTAATCAAATACTAAATCTAAAATAATATTATAAAAATATTGATCTCCCAAATCTTGTCTACATCATGGAGTCACCTAAAGGTTCCTGTTGTGTCTTGGGTCACCATCCATGAGCCATAAGCCTTGTGACACTACCGGTGACCATACTGTGTGGGGGTATTGCGGCTTCCGAGGTTTACAGTGGTTAGTGGTTTGTCAAGGTCTGCGGTCTGTGAAGCCATGTGTCCCTCTTCCATCATAAAAAAGAAATAGAAAACCTTGTGTAAAATTGTATTTTGAATCTGTGATGACAAATGTCAATGGGAATTATGTCCACTGATAAATTTTGTCGTCTTTGCCTCCTTATTTGATAATCATCCATAACTGATAAGCATTACCTAGATAAGAAGCTGATCCACTCCTGGATTGTCTCCACCCTTTGCCCGAGATTAGGGCATCCAATCAAGTCATTGTCTAGACTTCCGGAGATGTCTCCTGCTTGGTCAAGGTTGGCCAAACAGAGTGCCCGAGCAGAAATTGCCTCCCATAACAATTGTCCTAAAAATATTGGTAACAAAACTTGAAATGGGTGCATTTTTTATATCTCACACTTTTATAAATGATGTACAGCCATTTCAAGTTTTGTTAACAAAACATTACTCCAATTGTGGGAGGAAATTTATGATTGGTCAACTAGCTCTGTCAGCATTGGCCGATCAAGACACATAGTAGCATGACTGGGCACTTTGGTCTTCGGATGATCGGAACTCGGGCAGCGGGTGGAGAAAATATTAGAAATCAGGACTGATAGGGAAGTTGAGTTCACTGAGAAAAGGATTACTTGCTTGACAAGTCCTTTTTTTGGTGTAGTGAGTTCTATTCCTTTTATGGAAGGGCAACCATGCAGTATATAAGGGAAACACCCCAAGGGTTCAGATATGCAATTCAAGACTGATACACTTAGGCATCAGAGTGCCCTCCCTATGATCACTCCAGCTGCTTTTTGTTGGCAGCAGAGTTCTTACAGGAGTTTGTGCACATCAACCTCATCACAATTATACTAGAGTAACATTTTCATCGTATTTATTTGAGTAGGTGCATAAAACAAAAACTACTACAAAGCTCATTAAAAAGAGAAAATAAAACAGTGCACACTTTTAACGAGCTTTGCCGTAGTTTTTATCTTTAACTTTGTGTGTTCACGCGCTTTTATGTAATTGCAATTCCAATAACCAAAACTTGAGTATCAGGTCCAAATCACTGAGCAAGACTCGCGGAGCTGCTCAACTTAATTTAATCCACTAGAATTACTGCTTGTTTTTTCTTTGTTTGCAATTTCTTATATATCTATCTATGTTATTTTACCAATGCATTGGTATTGAAAGAAAAGATTTTTTTTTTTGATGGACTGATTATTTTTCCCTTTGTTTTACTCTTTTTTGTATTTATGTTGTCATTGTATTGGATATAAGCAGCATTGAGTAGCCAGCCTCAAATGGCAGCACCTAATAATTCTGATTTGGGATCTGAACCAAAACCTCAAGTAATATATCGCTGCAAGAAATGTCGAAGAATCGTTGCTTCACAGGAGCATGTAGTTCCCCATGAGCGCGGTGAGGGTCAAAAATGCTTTAAATGGAGAAAGAGAAGCGGTAATCCTGGGAAAAATGATAAAGAGCTTCCTGAATGTTCATCCATATTTGTGGAGCCTATGAAGTGGATGGAAGCAGGTCAGTAGAAAAACCCACTATTTCACTGTCATTTACAATTACAACCATTTAGGTCTTATCCCAAAAAAATTGCTTACATTGCTTTTGTTGTGAGCTGACAGTACAAGATGGTGGTGTGGAAGAGAAGATTCAGTGCATGGGCTGCAAAGCGCGATTGGGTTCTTTCAATTGGGCGGGTATGCAGTGCAACTGTGGAGCTTGGGTTAACCCGGCATTTCAGCTTCACAAAAATCGAATCGATGAGTGCCAGATCTGAGTCAGGTCAATATTCTCTCATGAAATCATAGTTAAGGAGCAGTGCTACTAAAACAGAAACCAAACATACTGAATCACGGAGACTCACATAACTGTGGACCCCACAATGTGTAGGCCCCATAATCATGTGAATATGTGTGATCCATTATGTGTTGGTATTGTGTTCCTAGCTTTTTTGGTAGTTAAGACAGTTAAGTAATTATGCTAGATCAGCTGTCGGGTTTGCCTTGTTTTAACTTATAGGCCTGATGAATGATAAAAGTTTTCAAAATGAGCCATCTCCTTGCAAAATGCAAATCTTTTGATGGAAATGTGTTGCTGCTGGCAGTTAAATTGTTTATATGGAAAAGTTACTACGGATCCAGAAAAGTGTCGAGAAAATGAAGTGTGTGGTGTAGATTCAAATTTGATATGGTGCCGGCTACTCCCAGAATGAATCTAGTCCACACATTTCATTTTCTGGATGTTTTTCTGGATTCGTAAAATGTTTGAATTGTTATCATAAGAAAATTTTATAATCTGATTTATACGACTCTCTATCTCTCTGTGGTGACATTTTTCTCACATTTACTCTCAAACAATTGAATGGCCGTTTCCTCATTCTTTCCTTTTTATTTATTTATTATGACTTGAGTTTCAAGGACAAAAAGAAATGAACTACCTTACCATGATTAATGCCACAATATATATTTTCTTTTCTCACTTATATATGGTCACCAAATCCAGTGATACATCATTGTTGCTGATTTATTATTATTATTATTATTATTATTGTGTAACATGATAGTTGAGATAATATATATAAAGGAATCACTATGAAGTTCTAATGATAAAAAGAACTTTCAAGTGCATGGTGAATCTCATCACTGATCAGCTGCAAATGCCTCAACCGGGAAGGTTTTGGTAATGCCTGCGAGGCTCTTGAATTGAATCTTCCCACTGGGTGGTTCATTGACCATTATTTCACTTACCGGAGGCCATAACATGAGCTCCTTCGCCTTCACTCCCTTGAGCTTCTTGATCCGTTTCTTCTCAACATAACCGGTTATCCCAGTGTCGTAACTCACAAGCTTGCCTATCATCTTGAAGTTGTGTTCGACCTTCTTCTTTTGCACGATCCACATGTAGCCAGTGCTCCTGACAAATCCTACTTCAATGACATCGGCCAGGGGGAGAAGTCCTGATGGAAGTTCAAACTCTTCAAGGAGAGAGATTGCCATTTTCGTCCCCTCTTCATGGCCCGTCTTGACGATTCCTCCTTCTTTCTCTGTCATTGTTGATACAGCTCTTTTTGAAGTTTCTTTTGTCAAAGCTAAAACTACATAAAAAGAACATTTTATAACAAGTGATTGCCTACATTAGACAAATGTAGTGGATAAACCAAGGGGAGTAGAGCATTGTATTAGTCACCAAAATTATAAAGGTTTAATTTATATGGCTCTCAATTTTTATGTGGAGGAGAAACTGAGGAGAGTAGCATTGCATTAACCACCAAATGATCAAAATTATGATGATTCAATTTATATGGTCCTCATTTTTATGTGAAGGATCTATAGGGAGATGTTTTTCCATTGTTTTAGTCTAACAATAGTGGTACTATGGACTAGAATTTGTACTCTGAAATTTGTCCAAAAAAATAATGAGATTGTTTAGTGTGGTTTATAGAGTTGTTTATAGTTATTATTATAATTTTTTAATTTTGAAAAATTTATGTTAAGGTGTTTGATGCAATTTCTGCTTACATTTTGTTAAGCATAATTAAGTTTGGAAAAACAACAACAAATGATTATTAGGAAGTAGGGAGAGGTGCTTTTAGTTACTGCACTGCATGTGATTATCACCTTGGTAAAGGAGCACCAAACAGGCGTAATGTGTGATCTAGATTGACATAGAAATTTACTAAAAATGATATGTGATCTAGATTTTGGGTTACATATTGTTTTTCTAAGTAAATTTCTGTGTGTGAATTCTAAATCTGTTGTTATTCAATGTTGTGTTTGGATTGTAGATTTGAGTAGGGAGAAAATAGAAAAAAAAATTATAACTTATATTTCATTTAAATTTTACTTATTTTTTTCATTTTATTTTTTAAATTCTTAATTAAATTTATGATTCAAGCACAACTTAACTGTTCTGACAAATGCCGCATCCCTCCAAGAATAAAATGACAATTATATTTTTTTTCTTGTAAAATCAACGCTTATGCTGCTGCCCCCATGCAACAAATGGCATTTACTGCCTCTAGTCGTAGTTTTATTTCTAAGTTAATTGTAATATAATGTTTTGTATGAAGAATTTTAACCAAATAATTTTATTGTCCAAGTTAAGGGGTTTTAATAATAATTAAAGGGAAAAAAAAACAGGCACTTGCATAGTATGGCTATGTTTGGCATAAGTTTTTTTTTGGTTATTTTAGTTACAAAACGATAAAATATGTTAAAAAGTCAATAAAATAAAATGTCATATCCAAATCATAATCATTTTATTTTTTTTCTCACAAAAGTCAAAAAAGTTAAAAAGTCTATCCCAAACGAAATTTTTTAGTTCTAGGTTAAAATAGTTAAAAAAATCAATAAGTCAACCCATATGCCAAACGAAGGCTAAGTTTGTTAACCTCACTCTATGGTTACAACTGCACAAGCACTTGGCTACAACCCTCTTTTGTGTACAGTCTTGTCCAATTGAGAATTTGGCTAATTTTCAGGCACAAATCCTCTCCTTTCTGTCCTCATCTTGCAATGTTTTTTTAAGTGATTTTTTTATTTTTATTTTTATGAGGTGACAAAAAAATAATAATATGTTTGGGAATATTTTTTTTTTAATTTTATGAAAAATATAAATCACTGGTGTATATGATTGGTTTTTTGGTTTATTTAATAATTTTTAAGTTAAAAAGACTATTAATCTAAAATCCAAGTTGCTAAACAGGCCTAAGCTTAACCACCTTCAAATATTGCTAAAGCTGGATATTGGGCTTTTATATGCACAGGTTGAGCATAGAACTGAAATGTACTATCAACTCTGCAAACACAAATTAGGCTGCATTAAGGACATTCGGGTCAAATTAATTTTAGAACTTTTGGCGTAATAATCTCACAACTCTAATCTATTGGGGCCATAAGGATAACAATTTGAAAAGTTATATTATCCTTATCTATATGTTATCTTTTCACAAAAGTCAAGAAAATAAAAAAGTTTATTTCAAATGAGACTTTTTAATTTCAGATTAAAATAGTCAAAAAAATAAATAAGTCAACCCATATGCCAAACGAAAGCCAAGTTTGTTAACCTCACTCTATGGTTACAACTGCACAAGCACTTGGCTACAAGCCTCTTTTGTGTCCATTCTTGTCCAATTGAGAATTTGGCTAATTTTCAGGCACAAATCCTCTCCTTTCTGTTCTCATCTTGCATTGTTTTTTTAAGTGATTTTTTTGATTTTTTTATGAGGCGACAAAAAAATAATAATATGTTTGGGAATATTTGTTTTTATTTTATGAAAAATATAAACACTAGTGTATATGATTGGTTTTTTGGTTTATTTAATAATTTTTAAGTTAAAAAGACTTTTAATCTAAAATCCAAGTTGCTAGACAGGCCTAAGCTTAACCACCTTCAAATATTGCTAAAGCTGGATATTGGGCTTTTATATGCACAGGTTGAGCATAGAACTGAAATGTACTATCAACTCTGCAAACACAAATTAGGCTGCATTAAGGACATTCGGGTCAAATTAATTTTAGAACTTTTGGCGTAATAATCTCACAACTCTAATCTATTGGGGCCATAAGGATAACAATTTGAAAAGTTATATTATCCTTATCTATATGTTATCTGTTTACTATGTCTATCTGTTTGTTCATGTTATATATTTGTTTGCGTGTCATCTTTTTTTAATGTTATCTATTTATTTACCTAATATGCCTATCTGTTCATATAACAACCATCACCAACCGCCGTCGGCAGCAACCACTGGTCACCTTTGATGACTTTTTTGGCATTAGCATTCGACCACCAATGGCTAGTGGTCCGATAACACTGGGATAAAAATGAAAAAAATATTCTTCATATCCTTCAAAAAATATGCAACAAAGTCACTCAAATCTTTATATCCATTTGTTGATAACGGTGTGTTTGGATTGATTAGTGAGAAAATAAAAGATATGATTAAAAATTTTCACTATCATGTTTAGATGAATAACAATGCAAAATAAATTTTATAAATCATGGAGATATTGGTATGATTACTTTTTCTTTCTTTGTATTTTAGTGGGTAATTTGTGATATTATAAAAATACACAACCAATCAATTTATGTCTCACCAAATCTAGGAGAGTTCTCTTTCTCACTATTTTTCACCTAACTTATAAATCAAACATGAGAACAAAAAATAATTTTCTTCATTTCTTATCATTTTCACAAAATCTCTTGATCCAAACGAACTGTAAGTTACCAATGTAAACTAATAATCAAATCCAAATTCATTCATTTCAAATCCATGAATACAAACACAATAGTCGGTTGAAGTTTATTCATGTTCAAAAGTGACTAAACTAAACAGTCATTTTATGTTTCTGTGTTAAGCCATTTCCAATTTTGCCAAGTTCCAATCCTAATCAGTAGCATCCTATTGATGTTGTTCTAGGCAGAGTAGTTCGCAATTACACAAGGCCCGTTTGTTTTCCGCCACCACAGTTTGTTTTCCGCCATCACAGTCCACTCTGGACTGTGATGGATGAATAGTAAAACAATTCCATGTTTATTTTGGTTTTGAAACTCCAAATTCGTAATCCCTTCAGATTATTAAACGCCTCAGTTGTTCGGATTATCAGCCTGGACTATGAGATGATATTAGCAAAATAATCCGTTGGCTAGGGGGTAACCGGTCGTCTGGAGGACGTCCAGTCGGTCAACTACAAATTATTATTTTTTTTAAATTTTTTTACTTGAGCATTTTTTTTAAACATTAATGTTTAATGGTTATGTATTTTTTGTTAAATAAAAATCATAATTTTGTTTGTTTTATTATTTTATATAAAAATAATTTAACAATTCCACACTAACAACTATCATCAAAACAAACATAATTTTACTAATTCTCTCATTATCAGTCCTCTCCATTCTACCTCTAAAAACAACGGGACCTAAAAGCTAACTAGCTAAGCTAGTATCATTAAGGCAACCATTAATCCCCTCCATTCTACAAACGGGACCTAAAAGTTGACTAGCTAAGCTAGCATCAGGCAAAGAAAATTTTAATATCCACCAATTAAATTTCATTCACTGATGAATAACACAGCTCCGTTTTGGCATGCAATTTCAGAACTACAAGCTAGCTACAATAAACAATTTAGAGTCTTTTTGTTGCATTTCTTGTTGCTTTATGCTATCTGCAACATGAGCAACCACTCCAGCTCCTGCATTATGAAACCACTCATTTTTTACCTGTGTTTCAAACCATTAAATGAAAATTAGAAAGTTGAAAAGTCATGAAAATTAAGAATATAAATGAATCATACAACATTTCAAAATGGAAAATGTTTATTTTACAGTACATGAATATTGTTGTGGGCAAAGAAGGGCCACAACGCCGAGTGAAAACTGACATCGACTTTTTTCCATCCTAATTGTTGTAATCCACGTATCATTTCCTCTGTTGATAAAAATTCAAAATTGTCATCACTGTTTGGCAATAGCTAAATAAGTTGCTTTTTTCTAAATAAGTAATGGTAATATGATAATTTTTCGCAAAAAAAAAAAACAATTTTTTTTAGCAATTACCCAATCCATCAATTTTTGAAGATTCTAAAATCAATTGCCAAAACCTACCTTAGGAGTTTTGACACCGACATTTACCTTCCATGATTTCATGATACTCATTTGTGTTCTCTGTGTTCGGTGCATTCTGAGCTGCCTCCTTTGCTTTAGCTGCTTCCGGAGGAAAATGAGGACCTTCGGATGAAATTGGGGGACAATACTCAACATCTACAACATGCTTGTAACCGTCCAGAGATTGACGAGGAGGCTGTGAATTTTTGAAGGAAACATTAGAAATGGTATAGGAATTTAACAACATACTGTTTACTTGAAATTTAACATCACCTGGAAAACCTAGTTTGAAGCTGCTTAGAATTAGAAACAGTTAAATCACCTTAAAAAGTTGTGTCTCCCTTCTTATGGAGGATGTGCGCCAACCAACCAGATCTGGATAATTTCAAGGAAAGGAAATTTTGATTTATTGATAATAAATAAATAAAGTGTGCGATTTTGTTCCAGCAACAAACATTGATATCCAGCAGGATACGGTCATAAGAGACATTTGCGTAAAGAATACGGCATCTAAATGCACCGAGGGCTGATCTGCCAGATAACAGAAGCATACAGGAAGCCATTCAGAATTGTGTGGGGAAAAAAAAAAAAGGGAAAAGTGGAAGAATGTCCACTTCATTAAAAAGAAAATGAAAAAGAAACTTACATGAATTTTCCATCTTCACAATCAGATGCCATTCTTAGTAGAAGAGGTGGATTGTTGGGTTTGCCATCGGTGAGGAATAGCTGGCTACCAGTTCGGCCAGCAAAAATGGGAGCGAACGATGGAGCAAGCTTTTCTAATATTGGAACTCCCAAAAGAAATGGAAGCTGAATCAGGAAAAATAAATCAATTGTCTGGTGGTCTGGTTATACTAATTTAATCACTAGCCACCAACAATGATAAACTCTTCATTATTCTTTACAAAATTCAAGAACTGCAAGCGTAAACATTGGATCATTCTATGGTTGGAAAGACAATACCCGGAATGCATTGTGAACAAGTAACATACTAATTATAAAAATAGTGATCTTAATGGGTATAGACCCAAAAAAATAGTGAGATAATGCATTATAAAATTTAAAAAACTAGTTCATTAGGAAGTCGCTTTAGAATAGCATACCTAATTGACAGCCATAAGAAATTAAAATATAGATGCTTTAAATGAATTGAAGGAAAATATTCATTTTTAAAAAAAGAAGTAAGGTCTTTATTCTTTGTTCTGTTGCAGTCTGGAGTACATAATAAGATATAGGATTAAAGATCAAGATAGGAAAAAATTTACAAAAAGGAATATCAGCGTCTCTATGAAGTATTAGAAAATTAAATTGTATTTCAAGAATGGTACCACAAATCTTGTGTAACAGAAATTTAATAATATTTAAAGATAAAAGAACAAAGTATATCCATTAAGGAATCATGAGTTTCCACATAGAGGCCAAATGCAAGGTGAGAATGACCAGTTAAGCCTGTGCTGAACAATAAGGTGCCGTTTGGTAACACTTACGTTTTCTGTTTTCTGTTTATATTTACAAAAATTTAAAAAACTCAAATAAAAATTTGTTTTGTAAAATTTTTGATTTATAAATCAGTGATCTCAGTTTATAAATTTGGCCAAAAAATGAAAACACAAAAAATGTTTTTCTATTTTGAGTTTTCAGTTTTTTTTTTTATCACCCAACATTAGCCACCACCCGCCATCATTTTCCACCACCGTCTTCCGCCATCACCACCCACCACCCATCCTCCACCACCACCTGCCACCACCACTCACCACCCACCTGCTACCACCAGCCACCACTACCCACCAGCCACCCACTCGCCACTACCACCACCCACCACCTGTCACTACCATTCACCGTCCGCCACCACCACCCGCCACTTACTTGCTACCACCACTCACCACCCACCTGTCACCACCATTCACCACCTGCCACCACCAGCCACCCACCACCACCAGCCACCTGCCACCCACCCACCACCACCACCATCACCCACCCACTATATATTAAGCAAAAGGGGATTTTTAAACTCAAGCCTTGTGGGAGCTCCAATCTCCCAATCTAAATTTTCCTGATTTTTTGATTTTAAAAAAAAAAAATCTTAGCATTTATTTACTTCTCACAATTTCAAGTCTTACCCTCATAATAATACTTTAATGCATTAAGAACAAGCATAAAAAAATTCTTTGAAATCTAAC